CTCCATATTAATAATGAACAAATCTAGTTAATTTTACCCATCAAGTTTTCCCATTTTATTCCCGACTGTTTTACCTCTAAGCTTTGTCATATATTTTTTTAAAAATTACTCCCTACTTTTGTGCTTTTATTCATCTTTATTTTAACTCTAATTATATCCTAATTAAGATCATTCAAAGACTTTCATGACAAAATTTTAAAAACTAAGATTCAAAAACATTTATCTTTCTCAAAAACTCATTTTTATAGCTTTATTTAAAACTTTTATATAGTGACTTTTTAAACATCACACTGATTTAACTAAATATAGCATTTTGGTGAAAGTATTTGGAATAAAAATAAATTTGACCCAATTTTTTAATTTATTGACTATGCCTAGAGCGATAGCACAGCGGTAGGGCATTCGCCTTACAAGCGGCCAACATGGCCGACCCGAGTTCGATTCCTCCAACCCTCTCGGAGAGCCCGGCAAGCTACCGAGAGTATTCGATATGCCAGACACAGTAACAACAAAATCTCCAATGGAGACGTTACTGGGCCCGCTCGAGCAAATCGACGATCAACGGGAGGGCCTTTACCTTTACCTTTTACTATGCCAAAAGATATAGTAATCCCTGCAGAGAATTGACTGGTGAATAAAGAAATGTATTTAACATGCACTGTAAAGACCTTATAGTGTGCTAGGAGAGATAAGGCATCAACCTAAGTAGTTATAATATGTCCTGGAAAAACATAATTATGATAAAAGATGTACTAAGAAACAAATATCAGAATTATATTAAGGGAAAGGTTTTCTTCACTGTGGGATCAAAGCAGATATCATAAAGGGTCTGGCTGAACAAGTAGATCCTGGGTGTGAACTGTAAATATTTATTCCTTCAAAGCATCTTTTTGGAACCCTGACCATGAGCAAGACACTGAAATTACTGCAAGAAATGCAGAAATGAACAAGAGGAAGGCCTTGACAAAGCTGATTATTAAGACTTAGTGAAAAGAAGGCACATTGAAGATTTTCTTTAAAGGTTAGCAAGCTAAAAAGAAACTGAAAACGATGAAGGAGAAAAAGTACCTTTTCTTCATACCTTACACCACTCATACTCCAGAGTAGCGCACCACATTTGATGGGGTTTAAAGTAGAAGACAGCCAGTGTTAGAGAGAAATATATTTTTACATATATATATATATATATATATATATATATATATACATACATATACATGGACTGGAGTGATAGCACAGCGCCTTGCACGCAGCTGACCTGGGACCCAGGTTCGATTCCTCTGCCCTTCTCGGAGAGCCTGGCAAGCTACCAAGAGTATCGCGCCTACACGACAAAGCCTGACAAACTACCCATGACGTGTCCGATACGCCAAAAACAGTAACAACAAGTCTCACAATGGAGACGTTACTGGTGCCTGCTCAAGCAAAGTCGATGAACAACAGGAGGACAGTGCAATACTATATACATACACACATATATGTATATATATAAAAGCACAAGGCTCAACCCTTAACAACATATTAGTAATTTCTTATAGAACAGCTTAATGGCCCCTGCGTGAAATAAAAATATCTTCACACACTCTCCTCTAAGGAAAGTTTTTTGGAGTCTTTTCAGCGGTGTATTCATAACAAACAAAACAAAATAAATTATTTCAGTTCTGCTTTGCGGCAGGGGTTGGGTTCAGGATGGAAACATCCAAAATGTGGTGGGAAGGTGTCATGGTGGTGGGATTGGTGTTTGAATAGGAAACATAACCAAATATTGTGAAATACATTATAAAAATAAAATAATTTTTTTAAAAAACTACCTTTTCTTCAAAGAGACTGAAAAAGATGAACTTGGGCATCAACTAGCCTGGGAGAAAATGGAGGTGGGGCTAGGAAAGGAAGAAGATTCACACAGATAAATCAAGGGCTCCTTAGAGTTGTGGTGTGTGTGTGTGTGTGTGTGTGTGTGTGTGTGTGTGTGTGTGCTTTTTCTGAAAATCAGAAAGGTGAAGAAGAGAGATATGGTTTAATCAAAACAATTTCTACACTACTTTATGTAAAGGCTCAAGGAAAGAATAGAAGTGGAACAGCTTGATATATTATTGCATTATTGATGGTTCTTATTCATGTTATTGCATTATTGATAACTTAATATACTATTGCTAATGTAGAGACAATTCTGTACATGGATTTACTTTTACCAGGTAGACTAGAATTAATTTAATTAATTTCATTTATACCTAAAATTAATGTTACTGGCATTAAGGAATACAATTATGCAATATTTTTTAAACTTGTTACTCCTACAACTGACTACAGTAAAATTCTCAGAGTGCTTCTCTTGGTTCTGTGGTGACTTGTCTTTAGTTTGTATTTGTCAATAACAGGCATCTTACACTCATTTCATTCTATTTTTATGTCAAAATGATCTCTTTATCATTCAAATGGATTATATAGGCAATTGATACAGAAATAATTGCTGTATTTCAGGAAACAGTATTTCTCCATTTATGTTAATCACAATTTTCAATCACCACTAAAAAATCAGGTTGAGCTTTCACTTTTCATTTGAAGCATTGATAATAAGTTTATTATCTTATTATTATTATCTTATTATGACATCATATTATCTCATTCCTACTTTGGACAAACTGGTAGGCTACCGAATGCAGCCTGCCCACACGGCAGAGTCTGGCAAACTCCCCATGGCGTACCCAATATGCCAAATACCAGTAACAATGATGGGTCTCATTCTCCTAAAGAGCCTTGAATATAATCTCAGGGCTAGGATGAAGGAGACGTTAGTGGGGCCTGCTCGAGGCAATCGACAATTAACAAGATGGTCGTGATAATAAGAACTATAATGTACTGATATTTCCAAAGTAACCTATTCTGAAAAATTATTCCAAAGTGTGTGCAATTTTGGTCTCTAGCTTGACTTACATTTATTTGGCCATGCTGTTTTGGATTGGGGTGATGGGGTGGGGTTGGGGGTTTTTGTTTGGTTGGTTGGTTTTGGCAAGGGTACACCCAGAAATGCACAAGGCTTAGTCCTGTCTCTGTATTCAGGGATTCCCCTGGCAGGGCTTTGGTGCCTTATAAGGTGCCAGGAACCAAATCCAAGTCAGTTAAGTGTAAGGCAAGCACCTACACACTCACCGCACTAACTCTCCAGTTCTCTGTGTATTTGGTCACATGAAACCAAACACACTACCAATTCTGGATAAGAAATCTATTTGGGAACAAAATACACAAAAACTCCAGTGGTAAGGAATATGGTTCAAAGTAGTGGAGCCTATGCCAAGCGTGTGAGAGGCCCAGAGTCCAACACCCAGGACCACATGGCCTTCCAGTACTACTGCTGTGGCCCCAGTGTAGCCCCACCAACCACTGCGCTTCAAGCAGTGCCTCAGAATCAGGCTCTTACCACCCCGCAGAGCACAGACAAGAGTGGCACCCAAAACCACCTTCCGCTCCCAGCACTGATGGATGTGACCCCTATTAAAAGTTAAAAAGAAAAATTCCAAAAACAATTTTGCTTGACTGGGGAAATGGTGGCATACTGGCTTGCATGGGTGAGGCCCGTTCTGGGGCCTTAATAGTGCATGGTCCGGGCAATATCACTGCTGTAGTCTGGCATCCCCCCCACGACATTCTCTCGTGGTGATATTTTGGCATCATCACAGCTACATATCCTTCAAAGGACCACATCAAGTTACCTTTCACCAAATGTGTAACCTCCACATTTTCAACTCAGCTGTTCAAATATTTTTCCTGATACAGGAAATAAAAGTTCTAAGTTCATGACTGCTTATTTATTAAGATAAAATTTAATTATAAGAATGTTTTCAAAAATAACTGAGACTAAGTTTCAATAAGAAATAGAATTTTTGTTCCAGTAGGATTGGCTGAGGGCACCCCAGTCAATCTTCAATAATCAGAAGTTAGCACATGAATACTGGATAATTGAAGGTATTTTGCATACAGCAGGAAAAAGTTGCTTAAATACAGATGTGATAGCACCTCAAAAAAAAATCCTCCTCTACAGTTTTGGATGCGACCAAGTCTCACCAATAAGTGTTCTCCCAAATACTATGCAAAACTTCCAAATGCAGATCTAGATCATAAACAGGACTTCATGAGGCTTCATTAACAAGAATTCCACATCACTATTCTCCAAGTCATCTTCTGCCTCCTAATATTCTACTACTGCCTTGTCAAAGTCATCTTATAATTTTATTAGAAGAGCTGACCATTAGCCAATTATATCAGTATTTTCTCTCCAAAATGCTTCTCCTATCCATCACTTTCTCTCCAACCATCAAGATACATCTTCTCCTATCACACTATAGACCCATAGACTCACCATCTTAAAGAAGCCATTCAGAATTACTGGTGGGCTTGGAAGTGGGATAGTCACCCTATTTCAGAGGGACCAGTCATAAGGACGACTTCAGTAGATATTTCCCTTCAGATGAATGGTGGAGAATTCTTTTCCTGACACCATCCTATTTCTTAACGCACCCTTTTATTGTGTTTTCCAGTTTTAAAGTGATCTGTTTGTGTATGCTATGCAACTGATGTCTTCTTACTCAATCTTTATCCTATTAAGAATTCTTGATAAACCCACTCACTTCACCATGCACTCTCTCCTAAGAAATTCCCAACATCAACCTTCTCCAAGAATTCTCCAATAAGAAGAGATAATATTCTTGCAAATCCACTTCCGTGAAAATTTTCATTTTCTCTTCGATTTAATAGTATAATTATATAAAATCCTTTTTGATTTATAAATTTTTCCTTTGTCTTCTGAATATTGCCAAATAGTATATACATAAATTATATTAAAAAGATTTACATATATGTGTACTATGACAACTTAGGATCTTGGAACCTGGGGATTTTAGTTTCTTTGCGTTTTGCAATTTTGCATAAATGTCTTTGCAGATATGACAGGATATGGTTTATGCAAACATTTATTGTTTCTTAGGATAAGAAGAAAAACTTACCTGCACAGGCTTTTGCTGAGGTACTGTGCCATGAGGAATTTCTGGCTGGGATGGGAGGTCTACCCCTTGGGTTTTGGGACGGGCCATGTCAGAGAGCAGACTGGAGGAGATGGCGAGAGACTTGGGTCGTGGAGCTGGGATGCTCATCCCCAGAGTGGGAGTTTCTTCACCTTTTCTGGTTGGAGCTTCATCTTCCCCTTCCGAGTCCACAATAAAGACATACTCAGCTTTGAAGAGGTCACTTTGCTGCATTCTTTGAGGTTCTTTAGCTCGAATCCTGCTTTCTTGTGAAACCTTTTCACTGATTTCTGTAGGGTGAAGCAATGGTCCTTCTTGGTCTCTCTTCTGCTGGCTCTCAGCATTTAAGGTCAAGTATTCATTGGAATTAGACTGCAATAAATAGAGAGATATAAAAACCTTGACATGGGTTTGATAAATGCTTATTTTCTACATATGTACTTGGAAGCTTAATCTGTTTCTAATCTCCAAGGACACAAGCTTTTTTTTGTTTGTTTTAGTTTATTTCTTGTGTTATATGTGAAATATTAGGAGGCATAGTAAGAGAATAACAAATGGCCAAAGGGAATAGAATCTGAGACCTGGTCTACAGAACTGAGTTGAACACTTAAGGGTGAGCCCTGAGACAGTGGTAGAGAGAAAGACAATCTCATAGGCTATGGAATGTTGTATGCATGAAACCCTCATTACAGCATTGCAAGTCACAGTGCATAAAATTCTTTAAAACATCAGATGTTCTTTGAAGACAATGGGTTTAACTTAACTATATGTGTTTAATGCTCCGTCCATTCATGCCTAAGCACAAACAATTTAGGGTCCATAATAGCAACTAATAAATCTGCTATGAATAAAATGATATGATTTTTATAAATAAAAAATAATTTTATAAAAATATTTTATAAAAGTCTAAAAGGAAATACAAAATCAGAACGAAATGTGTACACATTAATAAATATGTATAGAGATCAATTAGGAATAAAGGTGGAAATAAAGGAGAAAGATGTGGAGAAAGAAACATAAGAATAAGATAAAGAAGGGAGGATAGAGATAGAGGAGGTAGTGAAGGTGGTAAAAAGGTAAATATTTTTATGCAAAATTTTTACTATATTTTACTTTGTATTTATAATTCTAAATTCTAAATTTTTAAATTTTTTCTCATTCAATTTGCTATGAATGCAATTTTCTAAGACCAAAAGCAAGTCAACTTGATCAGCTATCAAAATATCTTTTCTACTTTTTTTCTAAAAAAACTTACTTTATCTTAATTATGAAAAATATTTTTTAGAAAAAAGTATGAAAAAGAATCAGTGTTTATTTTCATAGTTTAGAAAATCACACTATGATTGCTATTATTTTCTTTGCAATTTTTCTTTGAGTCTAAAGTTACTTCAAAATACTAAGTTAAGAAAGACATTGAATGCAGTAAAATAAATTTCAACTGTAGCAGTCAATTTAATATTTGCTGTGTATGATGTGTGCATGGACTTTATATGTGAAGATAAAATAGAAGTGATTAGATACAACTAAACTAAGGATTTCATTTTATACATCATTATATGTTTTTCAGCTGATGATGATATAGTCCAAATAAAACACAAATGGTCTCTGATTAGGATTTCTCTAATAATGTTATTTCAAATAATAAGTTATAATACTATATAGTAATGAAAGCCCAGAACTTAAATTACAAAGAGAATAAAAAGACATCTTAATATGTAAATATGTAAAATAACAAAAATTCACTTGTTTGAGAAAACATTTTAGATTATTTATTAATATAATAAAACAAAACAAACACTGTCCTCCCGTTGTTCATCGATTTGCTCGAGCGGGCCCAGTAACATCTCCATTGTGAGACTTGTTGTTACTGTGTTTGGCATATTGAATACGTCACGGGTAGCTTGCCAGGCTTTGCCATGCGGGCGAGATACTCTCAGTAGCTTGCTGGGCTCTCCGAGAGGGACAGAGGAATCAAACCCGGCTCGGCTGGGCTGTCAGCGTGCAAGGCAAATGCCCTACCACTGTGTTATTGCTCCAGCCTATTAATATAATATAAAAGAAAAAAGTTACCAATGTAAATTAATCATCTGAAAAGACTCACAGTCCATCATCCTATGGTATTTTAGACTGATATCCTTTTTACTGTATCTTTCACAGCTTGAGGTTTAATTTTTTAAAATTTTAATTTTTTGTCTTCTTTTCAACAAAAAACTGTGAATTGAATTTATTCATTCAGAATCCATAGCGTCTATTGCAGAATATATCTAATTAATAGTTGTTAAATATATAAAGAAATAGTGATTTTGTATCCTGTTCTATTATAACATTGAACTGCTAATAATCAGGGAAAAAATCTTGTAAATTTTAAAGTGTTTTAAAAATGCAGTTGTGTGTGCAATGTTGCAATAACAAATAAATAACATTATTATTTGGAAATTTTGTGCCATTGAAAACAACACTGATTCATATATCTACAATCTGACAAAGTAACCCATGAGTATGTTACATGTGGCAGTGTAGTATTGTAGAGATCCTTTCCCCAAAACCACTTCATGTAGCATCCAGGGTTATCTAAAATAATTTTTCCCCAATAGTCTTTGAAATAAAAAGAAACAAGGTTGGAAATCTGAGGATCATAGATACAATTACAACTTGCTAGATATTTCAATACAATCTTACCCAAACCTTCCAGTTGGCTCAAGGCTATAAAGTTCCCTCACTCACATTTTATTAAAGACAAAGCCATTTTCACCTCATATTTAATTATTCTAACAAACCATTTTCCAATTATTTTCTATTCTATTTTCAGTCCTGGTATCTTCCTATATAGATAGTTATAATTATAGTATATATATATTATAGCATACACAATATATAGTATATATACTATATCATATATATTATATCATCATATATTATGTTAATATATTATATATAGGATATAATATATTATGTTATACATACTGTAATATTGTAATATATTATACTGTAATAGGGCAGACCAATAGCAAAGTGGCAAGGCGCTTGCCTTGCACACAGCTGACCCAGGCTGACCCTGGTTCGACTCCTCCGCCCCTCTCGGAGAGCCTGGCAAGCTACCGAGAGTATCGTGCCCACACGGCAAAGCCTAGCAAGCTAACTGTGACGTATTCGATATGCCAAAAACAGTAAGAAGTCTCACAATGGAGATGTTACTTGTGCCCGCTGGAGCAAATCGATGAACAACGGGAAGACAGTGCTACAGTACAGTGCAGACTGTAATACATTATTATATCGACTTTCTTTTATATAGTAATAATTACAGCATAATTTAATGTATTTTGTCACATTAAGTTAACCTTTACTAAGGAATTACATAATTATAAATAATTATAACTTAGTTGGGGTAATACAATTATAACTTGGTTAAGGTGAAATGCAATACACTTTTCTGTTAGCTATTTGGCAGTTTTCATTTTTTCCTAACTATTTTCCTACAGAAAATTATTTTCTTTTGTATTAGTTCCATAAGGATACATTTTCAAAAGTTCCATCATTGAAGGAGTATCAATAGCTTTATGACCATGGACAAGGCCTTTAAACACCAAAGCTGCACACATTCACAAAACTAACATTAAAGTTTGTGCATACGATGTACTCACAAACTTCCCCAAGTTTGGGTACTTTGCATTTTGTTTTGGTTTGGGGGCCACACGCAGCTGCGTTGAAAGCTTACTCCTGTCTCTGTGCTCAAGGGACACTCCAGGCTATGCTCAGGGATGTATGTGGGCCAGGGTATTGAACAGGGGTCCGCCATGTGCAAGAAACACAAACTCCAGTCAATTCTCCCCAGACTCAATCTTGTATTTTTGTTCAAGATAAAAATTTTAACTATAAGATATCTTGGTCTTAGTCTTTTTCAATGGTCCGAAAGAAGGGGAGGTACCAGGAGGTAGACTGTAAATAGCAAATAATGGATGTCTGCTGACTCGAAAGGATTGAGAGTAACATGTTAGATTGTGAGGTTTGATGACATTTAATTCTATTTTGGGCGACGGAGGTGACTGCCAGGGTCAAGCCCGGAGTCTCACCTCAGCAAGTCAGGAACACTACCACTGAGCCACAGCCACAGCCCGAAGACTGTGATGACATTTAGGCTCCTGTTATGGAATTGTATTTTTAGTCAACATTAAACTTCACAGCCATCTCACTTTAAGCTGAGGAAATAAACATTCGAACAATTTTTTGTGCGTCATATTGATGAATAATTTAGTGATGGTTTAGTGTTAATGGCTTGATAGGGAAAAAAAAGAATAAAAAGAATCCTACCCTAGTTACAGTTTCTGGATTCTTATCACTTGGTTCCTCAGGAATTTTAACAAGAAATTTAGAGGTGCCAGTCAACTGAGAGTGGGTTGGTAGTCTTCTGACAGTGGGAACAAATGTGAAGATGAGAGGTTTGGCTTCAGAATCACCAGAAGAGACCTATGAGACATGTAATAAATTAGCCTTTCAGTCTTGTCAGAGGTTTGTCTTGACTTTATTCTCCATAAACCATGATATTTATCTCATTTATTTTGATAAATCACCTATTGTCTGGTCCTCGGGTGTATGGTTGCCAAAGAAAACAACCATAAAAATAGTCATAGTGTAGCTTTTTTTTTAAATGATACCATTTATCAGAGAAAGTTGGGCAGCCCCAGGAAGATGCTGTTTTAGAGGGTGGCAATAAAACAACAGGTTGACAAGCTGACCTGCTGGAATATTCAAAGCCATCTCTACTCAGTCATCACAAGCACAGCATCTGGGCTGCTTCAAAATTGATGTTTACCTATTTAACCCTGGGTTAGCAGGTTCGATTTGATTCATAATCATCAACCAAGCAAGAAACTTACCCCATTCCAATATTCGTCATTAAATAGAATGCTAAAATATGGACTTTAATCGGAAAAAAAAAACCTACTTTCTGGCTACCAGAATGTTGACGCCGCCTCTCAAGGATGTAGAGGATAAAACTTCTCTCATCTACTTTATATCCATTAAAAAATGAATCTACGTACTCTCTGTGTGTGAGGCACTCAGAAATGTGCAGTTAGAAATGCTTTCCTAATCTGAGAAGATCTATGAAAGGCAAGCGCTAAACTTGAAATATGAAGTGAAGAGGGAGAGAAGGATAAATCTATCCTAGGCTGAAATCCCAAGGGTGGGGTGGGGGCAGTTAGCAGTGGCATCTACAGCTGGCTTGGATTATGTCCCACCCACAACAGAGAAACATAATAGTACTGTCTGACTAGGAGCTGACACAGATGCATTGGAATGTTAGGTAAATAATTCTGGTTGTGAAAGACATAAGAAGAGAAACAAGGAGAGAGAGAGACTCCTGGTTCGCTTCAGTGACAGAAGTGCAACAGAGAGAAGACAGATGAAAAAAGACGCAAGGGAAGACAGGACTGTCAACGGCACTTTCCAGTTTAGGTGAGATGCTAGTAGGGAGGTAGTCACAAAGGAAAAGAGAGTCAGCAAAGTGCCTGTGTTGGTATTGTGATGGGATAGGGTTAGTTTAGAGTCTAACTATAGGCTCAGAGAAACAACCAATAAAGATGAAAAGCTTCCGAAAGGGCAGGCCAATTTCAAGGGCAGGTAGAAGTAACCTGATCTGTCTGGGGACCAGAGAAAATTAAGAGGAGGAAAAGCTCTTTAATGTGGTAGAATGAAATAAATGGAATGGTGAAGGAAGTGTAGCCAATGCTCATGATAACATGTACCCTCTTCAGTAAGAATCACATTGGCACTGTCCACCTCTCCCCATGTTTTTATCACAAGAAAGATGAACGTTGTGTGTGTGGGGGGGGGGACCTCTTTTCTTTCCCTCCAAGTCATACTAACTTTATGTGCCTTAGCCCGCTCAGACTTGGTCTTGGCAAGTCCTGCAACCCCATCATGTTAATCCCTGTGAGAAGGTCTGGTCTCAGGGACACCCATCAACCCTGTATGTACATTCCTAACTTTGTTCCCAGCTTGCACGCTACTCCAACTCTCGAGACTTTATTATATGCTTTCTGGAATTTAGTCAGCCACCATGATATCATCCAGAGCCCTAATTTCTCTCCCATTTCAGTTACCACTAAATTCAGTTTCATTTTGAAGGGTGCTTGCTGCCATTATAAACTCCCTCAGAGATAGCTGTTTTCTCTCACACTGAGCCTTGAAGTATGATGAATTTTCTCTGCATCGTTTAACTGCCTCCAGAATGTTCTTTAACTTCCATGAATCGACAAATATGCATCTCTGAGTCTCGTGGCCTTCATCTGTAGCAATTCAAATACCTAGTCATCTGGCCATGCTCAAATTGAACCATTTCTTCTTTGAATATTTTGCTCAAGGTTCTATTCCACTTTTTGTTATATGATGCTTTTTATATTACCTAATATTGTATCTCAAGGATAGTTGGTCTACTACTGTGTTTCCTTGACCCCTACTTTATCTGATTGCTCCCATTCCTACTCAAGATTTGTGGGTACAAGCCCTCCTTAAATTTATCTTTTTCATTCTCTTCATTCACGATCATGATCACGATCATCCTGTTGTTCGTCGGTTGCCTCGAGCAGGCACCAGTAACGTCTCCTTCGTCCTAGCCCTGAGATTTTAAAAAGTGTCATATTCAAGGCTTTTTCAGGGTTAGGAGAATGAGACCCATCATTGTTACTGGTATTTGGCATATTGGGTATGCCACGGGGAGTTTGCCAGACTCTGTCGTGTGGGCAGCTTACATTTGGTAGCCTGCCACATTGTCCAAAATAAGAATGAGATAATAAGATGTCACACAGCCGCAAATGCGGCTGTGCACTTCCCGGAGCTGGGTTTTATAGTCTCTGGGTCATGACCATTGATGGGATTACAGGGCTCTGGGGGGGGCAGCGTGTAATGGGTGTGACCTCTGCCTACTGGAAGATGGAGGATCTGAATGGAGGATGCTCAGCCCCAATCCAAGCAGGCTTGGAGATCTCAGCCCTGGGACCCACATGCCTTTGTTCCTCTGCCAGTACCTTCATGCATGTGGAGAGTGGTCTCAGAATGGTTGTGGCTGGGTCTTCGGCTGCCAGAGCTCTGCTTGGGGTGGGGAGGTAAACTCAACCTGCCCCCCTCCAAGGTGCCCCGGCAAGGACAGCTTCATTCTCTTACCACTATTATTTACTTTCCATATCACTTTATCTAGTACCTCAACTCAACCATTCCTCAGATCGCACCAGAATAAAAATCAATGCATCCTTCCAACATTATGTTTTCCCATGTTTCAACAAAACAAGCAACAGCGGACACAATTGCTCCCATGTGACATGCCATGTGCCTTGCTCTCTCTAGCATTGTCATCTCAGTTTGTATAAATCACAGTCCCATTAACTCTAACCCTAGATATCCAACACCTGTGCCACAGATATAATGTGAATGGAGAAAATCACATTACCATGTTTATTGTTCACTTCAAATTTATGGCTTTGAGTATCAAGCAAGTACTTTATATTGCTTTCTAGTAATAATTTCAGAACCCACCACTTTGTCATTCACCTAAAGAACTCATATATTCGCCTCTTTATTCATATCCTCAACATCTTGTTTCCCCTCCTCATTGTAAGCTGCAGGTTTGATCCTCATTTTATGCCATTACTGAAATAATCATAAAATAATTCCCCCAAATAAAATAATAACAAGGAAGAGAAGTCACACTGCCACATGGTAGAACTGGAGAGTATCAGGTGAAGTCAAATAAACTAGAGGAAGAAGGTTCAACATTGGATAATCACTAGGTCAAATATTGGATAATCACGTATCTGTGGTATAGAAAGAGAAAAAATGAGGGAATAGAGTGTAGAGAGTAGAGAAATATGACAAATACTTGGCCTTGGATTAAAAAATTCAGATTAGCAAACAGTGGGGAAGGAGAGGAATAAAGTGATGGGTTAGAGGTGACATGGTCAGAGGGACAGTGGTAGAGAGCTTGGGGCACTTTGTGGTGGTGAGGCACAATAACTTACACATCAGTACTATAAATGTTCACACTCATGTGACCATGTTACCTAAACTACAATAAAAAGTAATTATGAAAGTGCTAAAACATTATGAAAGTGGTAAAAAAAGGAGAATGCACACAATCCCCATCACTACATCTACTCAACCACCTGCATCTTTAATTCTATCTATGGTCTCATATTCTATCTATGATCTACCCTGCACCTATTTAAGGTAGCTCTACTTGAACATTTGCCTTCTACTTACTTTAATTCATAAATAATATCTAATTAAATACCTATTAAATGTCAGACTGCATTGTTGCAGTTGGTGATATCATAGTGAACTAAAATGTCTTCCCAGTGAAATTTAAAATCTAACACAGGAGACAGAAAATGAATTAAGCATACAAAAATCTATAGCACACTGCCCAGAGCAGCCTAGTGGCTTGAGTACCAGGGGGACCAAGCAGCACTGCATCCCCAGACCCTAACTTGGAACCATCCTACCTGGTGGCTGAGAATCACTGGGAATAGCCCCCAGACTCTCAAACTGCTTGGGAGGCTTCCCCGCCAAAAGAAAAATTTTAAAACTATTCCAATAATCCATGCTAGGGAGAATAGAGAAAACTTTAATCACTGTAAAAAGAGTGATACAAAGTGCGAAAAGTCTGCTACACTTCCATTGAAAAACAATTTGCCGCAAATTTAGATGCAAGATGGATGAGACCAAATGAGTAAAAGATTTCAATCTGCAGATCTGCAAGAAATGCACTATTCCCTGTGATAAAGGAAACAGCAGATGAAGCAGGCTTAGGGGAAAAGATTAAGCTTTCTATGTCAAATACACATTCAAGAGACAGTATGAATATAGATGTAAGGATGGGTTGAGAGAAATGTCTGGGATGGAGATATAATTATAAGGTTTGTTAACTTATACGTGCAAAATATGAGACTAAATCCCTAAAGAGTACAAAAAAGTAGAGGAAAAGGTCTAAGACTGAAGCCTCCGAATCTAATGTTAAGTAATCTAATAACTGGGAAGAAGTAGTAGAGGTTACACCCGATTTCAGGGAAGTGGAAAAGCTGGAACAATGTTCACTGCCTTCAGGGTCAGGTGAATGAGACCCATTATAATTACTGAGGACATTGGTGGTAGGAAATGTGCACCAGCGGAGGGATGGGCATTGAAACACTATATGACTAAAACCCAACCATGATCAGCTTTGTAACTCTATGTCTCATGGTAGCTCAAAAATAGCACTGTAGCACTGGAATTGAAAGAGCTATGCTTGGAATATCACGTTTCACTCAAATGAGAGAAAGAATCCAGAGTTCCGACATCCATCGATGATCAAGAATCAGGGACGCTATCTCATTTGCCAAGGTGTCAAAAATCAGATGGGCTGGTCACGTAATGATATTTAAAGATGACCGCTGGACTAGAGCTGTTACCGACTGGATCCCACGGGATGTCAA